ACCACCCTGAACACGCCCGATCTCGTCCGATCTCGGAAGCTAAGCAGGGTCGGGCCTGGTTAGTACTTGGATGGGAGACCGCCTGGGAATACCAGGTGCTGTAAGCTTTTCTTTTCTTGTATCTTGTGCCGTGTTCTCTCTCCAAGAGGCTAGGATATGGGTCTTTGGGGAGCCTGGTCTTTAGCTTGGACCAATGCAAATACACTTGGAGATGAGCCTTCAAGATAAATGAAAGAAAAAGTCAAAAAAGCACAAAGAGCGGGAGGACTGAGATCTTGTCATGAAGCGGAGCAAAGGAGTGGAGCATGATGGACTGCAGAGATAGGCTGTAAAACTAAGCTTGACTGCGTATGCGGGTGTTTTCTTGAGCGACGCATTGTTCATTGAAAGTGAAATGCTGATTATAATTGAGAGAACCACACAGGAGCACGTTCAAATAGCTCATTTGGAGCCTGTGTCATCGCTTACGGCCATACCACCCTGAACACGCCCGATCTCGTCCGATCTCGGAAGCTAAGCAGGGTCGGGCCTGGTTAGTACTTGGATGGGAGACCGCCTGGGAATACCAGGTGCTGTAAGCTTTTCTTTTCTTGTATCTTGTGCCGTGTTCTCTCTCCAAGAGGCTAGGATATGGGTCTTTGGGGAGCCTGGTCTTTAGCTTGGACCAATGCAAATACACTTGGAGATGAGCCTTCAAGATAAATGAAAGAAAAAGTCAAAAAAGCACAAAGAGCGGGAGGACTGAGATCTTGTCATGAAGCGGAGCAAAGGAGTGGAGCATGATGGACTGCAGAGATAGTCTGTAAAACTAAGCTTGACTGCGTATGCGGGTGTTTCCTTGAGCGACGCATTGTTCATTGAAAGTGAAATGCTGATTATAATTGAGAGAACCACACAGGAGCACGTTCAAATAGCTCATTTGGAGCTTGTGTCATCGCTTACGGCCATACCACCCTGAACACGCCCGATCTCGTCCGATCTCGGAAGCTAAGCAGGGTCGGGCCTGGTTAGTACTTGGATGGGAGACCGCCTGGGAATACCAGGTGCTGTAAGCTTTTCTTTTCTTGTATCTTGTGCCGTGTTCTCTCTCCAAGAGGCTAGGATATGGGTCTTTGGGGAGCCTGGTCTTTAGCTTGGACCAATGCAAATACACTTGGAGATGAGCCTTCAAGATAAATGAAAGAAAGAGTCAAAAAAGCACAAAGAGCGGGAGGACTGAGATCTTGTCATGAAGCGGAGCAAAGGAGTGGAGCATGATGGACTGCAGAGATAGGCTGTAAAACTAAGCTTGACTGCGTATCCGGGTGTTTTCTTGAGCGACGCATTGTTCATTGAAAGTGAAATGCTGATTATAATTGAGAGAACCACACAGGAGCACGTTCAAATAGCTCATTTGGAGCTTGTGTCATCGCTTACGGCCATACCACCCTGAACACGCCCGATCTCGTCCGATCTCGGAAGCTAAGCAGGGTCGGGCCTGGTTAGTACTTGGATGGGAGACCGCCTGGGAATACCAGGTGCTGTAAGCTTTTCTTTTCTTGTATCTTGTGCCGTGTTCTCTCTCCAAGAGGCTAGGATATGGGTCTTTGGGGAGCCTGGTCTTTAGCTTGGACCAATGCAAATACACTTGGAGATGAGCCTTCAAGATAAATGAAAGAAAGAGTCAAAAAAGCACAAAGAGCGGGAGGACTGAGATCTTGTCATGAAGCGGAGCAAAGGAGTGGAGCATGATGGACTGCAGAGATAGGCTGTAAAACTAAGCTTGACTGCGTATGCGGGTGTTTTCTTGAGCGACGCATTGTTCATTGAAAGTGAAATGCTGTTTATAACTGAGAGAACCACACAGGAGCACGTTCAAATAGCTCATTTGGAGCCTGTGTCATCGCTTACGGCCATACCACCCTGAACACGCCCGATCTCGGAAGCTAAGCAGGGTCGGGCCTGGTTAGTACTTGGATGGGAGACCGCCTGGGAATACCAGGTGCTGTAAGCTTTTCTTTTCTTGTATCTTGTGCCGTGTTCTCTCTCCAAGAGGCTAGGATATGGGTCTTTGGGGAGCCTGGTCTTTAGCTTGGACCAATGCAAATACACTTGGAGATGAGCCTTCAAGATAAATGAAAGAAAGAGTCAAAAAAGCACAAAGAGCGGGAGGACTGAGATCTTGTCATGAAGCGGAGCAAAGGAGTGGAGCATGATGGACTGCAGAGATAGGCTGTAAAACTAAGCTTGACTGCGTATGCGGGTGTTTTCTTGAGCGACGCATTGTTCATTGAAAGTGAAATGCTGATTATAATTGAGAGAACCACACAGGAGCACGTTCAAATAGCTCATTTGAAGCCTGTGTCATCGCTTACGGCCATACCACCCTGAACACGCCCGATCTCGTCCGATCTCGGAAGCTAAGCAGGGTCGGGCCTGGTTAGTACTTGGATGGGAGACCGCCTGGGAATACCAGGTGCTGTAAGCTTTTCTTTTCTTGTATCTTGTGCCGTGTTCTCTCTCCAAGAGGCTAGGATATGGGTCTTTGGGGAGCCTGGTCTTTAGCTTGGACCAATGCAAATACACTTGGAGATGAGCCTTCAAGATAAATGAAAGAAAGAGTCAAAAAAGCACAAAGAGCGGGAGGACTGAGATCTTGTCATGAAGCGGAGCAAAGGAGTGGAGCATGATGGACTGCAGAGATAGGCTGTAAAACTAAGCTTGACTGCGTATCCGGGTGTTTTCTTGAGCGACGCATTGTTCATTGAAAGTGAAATGCTGATTATAATTGAGAGAACCACACAGGAGCACGTTGAAATAGCTCATTTGGAGCCTGTGTCATCGCTTGCGGCCATACCACCCTGAACACGCCCGATCTCGTCCGATCTCGGAAGCTAAGCAGGGTCGGGCCTGGTTAGTACTTGGATGGGAGACCGCCTGGGAATACCATGTGCTGTAAGCTTTTCTTTTCTTGTATCTTGTGCCGTGTTCTCTCTCCAAGAGGCTAGGATATGGGTCTTTGGGGAGCCTGGTCTTTAGCTTGGACCAATGCAAATACACTTGGAGATGAGCCTTCAAGATAAATGAAAGAAAGAGTCAAAAAAGCACAAAGAGCGGGAGGACTGAGATCTTGTCATGAAGCGGAGCAAAGGAGTGGAGCATGATGGACTGCAGAGATAGGCTGTAAAACTAAGCTTGACTGCGTATCCGGGTGTTTTCTTGAGCGACGCATTGTTCATTGAAAGTGAAATGCTGATTATAATTGAGAGAAGCACACAGGAGCACGTTCAAATAGCTCATTTGGAGCCTGTGTCATCGCTTACGGCCATACCACCCTGAACACGCCCGATCTCGTCCGATCTCGGAAGCTAAGCAGGGTCGGGCCTGGTTAGTACTTGGATGGGAGACCGCCTGGGAATACCAGGTGCTGTAAGCTTTTCTTTTCTTGTATCTTGTGCCGTGTTCTCTCTCCAAGAGGCTAGGATATGGGTCTTTGGGGAGCCTGGTCTTTAGCTTGGACCAATGCAAATACACTTGGAGATGAGCCTTCAAGATAAATGAAAGAAAAAGTCAAAAAAGCACAAAGAGCGGGAGGACTGAGATCTTGTCATGAAGCGGAGCAAAGGAGTGGAGCATGATGGACTGCAGAGATAGGCTGTAAAACTAAGCTTGACTGCGTATCCGGGTGTTTTCTTGAGCGACGCATTGTTCATTGAAAGTGAAATGCTGATTATAATTGAGAGAACCACACAGGAGCACGTTCAAATAGCTCATTTGGAGCCTGTGTCATCGCTTACGGCCATACCACCCTGAACACGCCCGATCTCGTCCGATCTCGGAAGCTAAGCAGGGTTGGGCCTGGTTAGTACTTGGATGGGAGACCGCCTGGGAATACCAGGTGCTGTAAGCTTTTCTTTTCTTGTATCTTGTGCCGTGTTCTCTCTCCAAGAGGCTAGGATATGGGTCTTTGGGGAGCCTGGTCTTTAGCTTGGACCAATGCAAATACACTTGGAGATGAGCCTTCAAGATAAATGAAAGAAAAAGTCAAAAAAGCACAAAGAGCGGGAGGACTGAGATCTTGTCATGAAGCGGAGCAAAGGAGTGGAGCATGATGGACTGCAGAGATAGGCTGTAAAACTAAGCTTGACTGCGTATCCGGGTGTTTTCTTGAGCGACGCATTGTTCATTGAAAGTGAAATGCTGTTTATAACTGAGAGAACCACACAGGAGCACGTTCAAATAGCTCATTTGGAGCCTGTGTCATCGCTTACGGCCATACCACCCTGAACACGCCCGATCTCGGAAGCTAAGCAGGGTCGGGCCTGGTTAGTACTTGGATGGGAGACCGCCTGGGAATACCAGGTGCTGTAAGCTTTTCTTTTCTTGTATCTTGTGCCGTGTTCTCTCTCCAAGAGGCTAGGATATGGGTCTTTGGGGAGCCTGGTCTTTAGCTTGGACCAATGCAAATACACTTGGAGATGAGCCTTCAAGATAAATGAAAGAAAGAGTCAAAAAAGCACAAAGAGCGGGAGGACTGAGATCTTGTCATGAAGCGGAGCAAAGGAGTGGAGCATGATGGACTGCAGAGATAGGCTGTAAAACTAAGCTTGACTGCGTATCCGGGTGTTTTCTTGAGCGACGCATTGTTCATTGAAAGTGAAATGCTGATTATAATTGAGAGAACCACACAGGAGCATGTTCAAATAGCTCATTTGGAGCCTGTGTCATTGCTTACGGCCATACCACCCTGAACACGCCCGATCTCGTCCGATCTCGGAAGCTAAGCAGGGTCGGGCCTGGTTAGTACTTGGATGGGAGACCGCCTGGGAATACCAGGTGCTGTAAGCTTTTCTTTTCTTGTATCTTGTGCCGTGTTCTCTCTCCAAGAGGCTAGGATATGGGTCTTTGGGGAGCCTGGTCTTTAGCTTGGACCAATGCAAATACACTTGGAGATGAGCCTTCAAGATAAATGAAAGAAAAAGTCAAAAAAGCACAAAGAGCGGGAGGACTGAGATCTTGTCATGAAGCGGAGCAAAGGAGTGGAGCATGATGGACTGCAGAGATAGGCTGTAAAACTAAGCTTGACTGTGTATCCGGGTGTTTTCTTGAGCGACGCATTGTTCATTGAAAGTGAAATGCTGATTATAATTGAGAGAACCACACAGGAGCACGTTCAAATAGCTCACGGTGTGTGCCCCCCCCCCCCCCCCCCAGTGTTTATTCACTGTTTGGGGGGTGATTTTTCGTTTTTTTCAGAAGACAGCTGAACCCTGGCACCAGCAGACACAATGGCTGAGAGTGAAAAAAGAAACATAGAGGAAACAGCAAAAGAACAGAGCTGTGGTGATGAAAGAGCAAAGCAACTCAAACAAAGAACCCTGATCACATATGTAGAAGGAGAGGAGAAAGTACAAATGATGGATCTCATAAAAGCAATAAAGAGAGAGTGCGGAGAAATGGTCGGCTGCAGACAGAGAGGAGAACGAAAAATAGAAGTGACAATGGAAACAGAGGAGGGGAAGGACAAGCTCCTTGATGGCTTCAGGATCGGATCCTCCACTATAAGAAGCGAGGAAATAAACAACAATGAGCTGGTTGTGTCCTTCCTCAATCTCCCGATGTACATAACCGATGATGAAATTCTGGAGAAACTGAAAGGGTGGGGTGTAACTCCAGTATCAAGAATAAAGAGAAGACTGTGGCCAGGGACGGAGGTGGCCGATGGGACACGTTTCCTCAAAGTGAGGTTTAACAAGGAGGTGAGATCCCTGCCCTACTCCACACGGTTTGACACTCTGGAGGGGGTAGAGTACTGTCGAGTCATCCACGACAGACAGGTCCGAGTCTGTCGATTGTGTATCCAGCCGGGACACATCTTCAAAGACTGCCACGAATTCAGGTGCTTCCGATGCGGTAAGCAGGGACACTATGCACGAGAATGTGAAGGCAGAGGAAGAGGAGAGACCGGAGGGGAGCAGGAGAGAGGAGAGGAGGAAAGGATGGAGGAGGGAGGAGACGAGGACAGAGGAGTCGAGGAGGGAGGAGAAGAGGACGGAGGAGGCGAGGGCGAGGGAGAAGAGGAGGGAGGAGAGCAGACGGAGAGGAGAGAGGAGGAGTGTCGGCGGAGCACAACCAACGCAGAAGAAGAGAGGGAACAGACTGGGGGCGCAAAGACAGAGCCTCTTGGGCCATGCTGTCGGGAGGAGAGAGGAGGGGAGGAGCTGGTGAAAGGAGGAGAAGCAGAGACAATGGGGGGAGGAGGTGAGGACACTGGGGAGAGGGACATTAAGGCGGGGGAGGAGGGGAATACGACAGTGGGGAAACAGGGGAGTCAGGGGATGACTTGGAGGACATGGAAGATATGGTTAAAAATAGAAAAAGGCAGAGAGGAAGAAGGGAAGCAGTTTTTGGGAAATTAAAGAAAACATGAAAAGTATGTTCAGAACAAAACAAAACAAAACACCAACAACGACAGATTGGTTCATCTTCGACTTATTTCGGGCCTTCTTTTTTTCTTTTTACCTTAATGATAACTATCTCCTCCTTTAATGCAAATGGACTCCGGTGTAAAGCAAGGAGACATGCAGCCATAATGACCTGCGATGCCCATATCATATGCTTACAAGAAACTCACTGGGATGAATGGTGTGTGAATGTAGTAAAGAGAGAATGGTTGGGTGAAATGTACAACAATAATGGGGGAGATAAAACAAGAGGGGTGGCAATTCTAGTGAAGAGGGGAGCGGTTGAGAATGTGAGAAAGTGTGTGGATGATGGTGAGGGGAGAGTGATTGGGATCACGTTTGAGCACGAGGGGAAAGAGTATAAACTATTGAACGTGTATGCACCAAATGAGGAGAAAGAGAGGAAAGAGTTTTTTGAGAGAATGGGAAGAATGAGCGGGAAAGACTGTCTGATTGTCGGAGATTTCAATGTGTGGTGTGGAAGACTGGATGCATCTGAGAATATGAATTACAGGAGTGACATGTCCAGGGGAGTATTCAAAGAAATGATGAGAGTGAATGAGATGATTGATGTGTGGAGAGAAAGAAACCCAGAGGAGAGGGAATTTACAAGAACACAGGTGGTGAAGGGGGTGTTAAAACAAAGCAGGATTGACCTAATACTGAGCACGAGGGACATAGCTTGGAAAATAGGCAACATAGAATATCAAACAACAACACTCAGTGATCACAGGGCGCTAAGGTTCAGTTTAGGGCAGGGGCACGAGAGGAGAAGGGGTGGAGTGTGGTGTATGAACGGAGCAATGCTGAAAGAGGAGAAATACAAGGACAGAGTGAGAGAATGTGTACGAAAGAGAATGAATCACAGCATGTATGTGCAGGACATCGGGAAGTGGTGGGAGGAGCTTAAAGAGGAAATAAAGAAAATCAGTATAAGATATGGTAGGATTAGGAATAGGATAGAGAGAGAGAGAGAGAGGAGACTTAAAGGAGAAATGCAAACAGAAGCAGAGAGAGTAGGCAGGGAGGAAGGGAGAGATATAGGGGAGTTTATGAGACTGAAACAAGAACTGAAGGAGATAGAACAGAAGAGATGTGCAGGAGCAATAGTTAGGAGCAGGGCCAGATACGTCATGGAGGGAGAGAGAGCAACTGGGTTTTTTTTAGGCCTAGAGAAGGTGAAGCAGAGGAAGAACTATTTAGAGCAGGTAGAAGGAAAGGGGGGAGAAGATCACAGACTTTGTAGGGATAGCAGGAAGAGTGGAGGAATTTTATAGGGAACTATTTAGGAAAGAAGAGATAGATGAGTGCAGCTTAGAGCAGGTGCTAGAGCTGGTGAAAGGCAGACTGAGTGAAGAGCAGAGGGAGATGTGTGAGGGACAGATAGGGACAGGAGAGATAGAGGCAGCCATAGCAGGGTTAGGGAGGAACAAGAGTCCAGGGATAGATGGGATCATAGGGGAGTTTTACATGGAGTTTAGGGAAGAATTAGTGCCTGTGTTAGAGAGATTATTTAGGGAGATAGAAGAGAAGGGTCAGATGCCAGCTAGAATGACAACAGGGTTAGTCACAATCATTCACAAGAAAGGGAGCAGGGACAAACTAGAAAACTACAGGCCACTCAGCATGTTAAATAGTGATTATAAAATATTAGCCAGGGTGCTAGCAGCTAGGATGAAGAGAGTTGTAGGGACGGTGGTGGGGGGCACACAGGCATATAGCATACCAGGAAGAGACATAGCAGACACAATAAGCAGCATTAGGGACACAATAGAATATATGAAGAGGGAGAAGAGGGGGATAGTATTAAGTTTAGATTTAAATAAGGCTTTTGATAGAGTAAACCACAATTATCTGTACAGGGTGTTAGATAGAATGGGTTTCGGGCACAGGATGGTAGGATGGATAAGGAGAATGTACGATAAAGCAGTTAGTTGCGTTAAAGTTAATGGGATAGTCACAAGTACATTCAGGTTAGAGAGATCAGTTCGACAGGGATGCCCGCTATCGGCTCTGCTGTACTCACTGTCGGCAGAGCCTCTAGCGATGCTGGTGATGAACAACGGGAACATAAGAGGTATAGAGTTACCAGGAGGACAGGTTAGTCTACTATATCAGTATGCAGATGACACTACAGTAACAGTCAGAGATAGGGAAAGTGTAAGAGAGGTCTTAGCTAGTGTCGAGAGGTACGGCAGGGTGTCAGGGGCGAGGGTCAATATAGAAAAGTCTGAGATCATGTATATGGGGACAGGAGAAGCAGATAGGGTAGAGATAGGGCTGAAAGAAAGGAAGGAGCATTTAAGAGTCTTAGGGGTAAATGTAGGGATAAAAGACACAGAAGGCAGGGACATACGGTACGAAGGGATAGTAAACGGTATAAAAAAGACATTAGGATTTTGGAAAAAGAGAAGGCTTACCTTGAGAGGGAAAGTGGTGGTTGTAAATGCGTTGGTGGTCAGCAAACTTGTGTATGTGATGACTGTGCTAGAGGTGCCCGACAGAGTGCTGAAGGAGGTGGACGGGGCTGTGAAAGATTTCCTGTGGGAAGGGAAGGGGGTACAAATAGCAAAAGAGGTGCTAGAGAATGATTATGAAGATGGAGGGCTTAAACTGATTAATTTAAAGAACATGAAGAGAGCGCTGAGGGTGAAAATGATGGTCAGATACATAAAAAGAAGGGGAGATCATGTCTGGAAGACGTTTTTGGGACAGGCTCTGAACCAATGTGGCGGCTGCGGAAAGAGTGGAGTGTTCATGTCCTTGAAGAGAGCTAGAATGGATGGAGTGTCTGAGTTTTACAAAGAAGTTCTGGAAGCATGGGGGAGTTTGTGAAAAGTGTGAAGTATGAGTGTGTGAATGTGAGGCAGGTTTGGGATCAACCTTTGTTTTTTAACCCACAAATCACGCACCAGGGGAGCACCATTTATAACAAGGAGATGTGGAGAGCAGGGTTCAGAAAGGTGAAGGATTTAGTGTATGAATATGTACCAGGGTTTATGAGGGCACAGGTGATAATGGATGGAGTCAGAGAGGCGGGGGGGAGATGGGGCTGGGCACTGCGGAAACAATGATGGAGAAAATAAAAGAAGGAATACCAAGAGAGTGGATGAGATTGATTGAGAGAGAGGCTGGAGAGAATGGAAAGGGAGAGATTGAGATGTTTGTAGGAGGGAGTGAGAGGAGAGTGAGCCTGGTGAGTGTGAGAACAAGAGTGCTGTATAAATGTTTCAGAATGAAAGATGTGAGGAGGCCGGCTGCAGAAAAAGTGTGGGAGAGAGTTATGAAAGGAGTGAGAGGGAAAAAGATCTGGGCAAATTTAAGAGTGAAGTGGAACTGTCATGAATGTGAAAACTTAGATTTCAAGTTACGTCACAACAGGGTGTTCAACAACTTAATTATCAGCAGATTTGATCTAAGGGTGAAGAAAGAATGTGATGTGTGCAGAGTGGGTGTGGAAACATGTATGCATGAGTTTGTTGAATGTCCCGAACTAGGGTTTTACTTCGAGAGAATGAGGGAACTAATAAAGAAAAATTGGAGAGGGAAGTATGTAGAGAGGATGGATTGGAAGGAGCTGTGGCTGTTTGGAGTGAATGAGAGAGTGAGAGGGGTGAATATCGGTCTCCTGAATTACACACTGAGTCATGCAAGATATACTGTCAAACTACGGAGAAACATAGCTCACTATGAACAAAAACATGCAGATGTATGGAAGTTATTCAAAAACCTAATGAGGAAAAATGTAAACACCCTGTATCAGTATGTAGAAAAAGAGGAGTTTAACAAACGCTTCATAGAAGGCAGCAAATTCATAGAGCGGAAAGGTGATTGCCTGGAATTTAATTTCGAATAAAATAAGGTCTGGATTTATTTATTTATTTATTTTTTTTGTTGATGCTGTTGTTGGTGTAGTTGTTTTGTTATGTATGCAAATGCACTGATGTGCACGTATGCTTATGGATTCAAACACGAATGACGGAATGTGTGTGTATGGGTATGTATGTGAATATATATGTTCACAAGTCTAAAATGACAGATGTATGTAAACTGTACTGAGCTTGTAAAAAAAAAAAAAAAAAAAAACACGCCCGATCTCGGAAGCTAAGCAGGGTCGGACCTGGTTAGTACTTGGATGGGAGACCGCCTGGGAATACCAGGTGCTGTAAGCTTTTCTTTTCTAGTATCTTGTGCCGTGTTCTCTCTCCAAGAGGCTAGGATATGGGTCTTTGGGGAGCCTGGGGCCTGTTCTACGAAGCAGGATTACTGCTTAGCGGGGTAACTTCGATAGTAAGTTCGGGGTTTCCTGTTCTACGACGCGGGTTCACTTCTTAGCGAGGAGAGTCTCCATAGCAATATATGCTGAACGGCTAACCTGCTCCGGGGCAGGTTAGGTTCCAGATTGAACTCACTGAGTATAAAAACCCCGCCCACTGACCAATGAGCTCTCTCGAAAAACGGTTTGTCCGTTCTTGGAGGATCCTGTAGACCTCGGTGCTCGCATTGTCCGAGGAGGAGCACTCCGGCTCGCGAGAGTTTTCAGGGAGAGTTTTCTCCGGATGACCACCTCTATGAAAGGCTCATATGGCCGACATATTACACAAAACATGTAAACACGATAGGAATGAACAAATGAATGATTCATCTTGGGAATGAATGGGCATGAGCTGCAGGGGCTGCGCGATCACAGACAACATCTCGGTACTATTTAGTAGCAGCGCACGCCCCTTATAATAACCCCGTAAATACTGTTGTTCAGGACTGCTTACTTCTGCTTCCTACCCACTGTAACAACCGTTGTTCTTGCCCACATGCAACATTTTTGTTCTCATTCATGAAACGCTTAAATCACGGACATGTTCAGAGACAGCTTTAGCCGGGGACAGATCATCCAATTCGGGGACTGTCACCTTAGTTAAAAGCGCATGTTGAACAGTGCTATTTCAGGGTGATAATGGCATCAAAGACTAATTTTCTGCCAGCATTCCCTCTGTGCTTTTGCAGCGGCGACGGTGTTGCTTTTGAGGTTTGTGATAGCTTTCAATTCTTCATACTTTCTCATGATCGTCTCCTGCTCCTCGTTTGTAAAGTCTGCGGTCCTTCACTCTCCAGCCTGCTGCTGTGACGCTCCAGACTGATCCATGTTCGCGATTGGTCAGATGCGGCGAGCTCCGCCTTGTATGTGTGCACGCGCTCATAGCAAAGCCGGATCTACTTATGAGGTTGATAACCAGCGTCGTAAAACCGCTTAGCGAGACCGCCGGCTACCGCGCTAAGTTGAGCGAGGTAGCTCTCAGACTACCTCGCTAAGTTGAACTTGCTTCGTAGAACAGAGGCTAGGATATGGGTCTTTGGGGAGCCTGGTCTTTAGCTTGGACCAATGCAAATACACTTGGAGATGAGCCTTCAAGATAAATGAAAGAAAGAGTCAAAAAAGCACAAAGAGCGGGAGGACTGAGATCTTGTCATGAAGCGGAGCAAAGGAGTGGAGCATGATGGACTGCAGAGATAGGCTGTAAAACTAAGCTTGACTGCGTATCCGGGTGTTTTCTTGAGCGACGCATTGTTCATTGAAAGTGAAATGCTGATTATAATTGAGAGAACCACACAGGAGCACGTTGAAATAGCTCATTTGGAGCCTGTGTCATCGCTTACGGCCATACCACCCTGAACACGCCCGATCTCGTCCGATCTCGGAAGCTAAGCAGGGTCGGGCCTGGTTAGTACTTGGATGGGAGACCGCCTGGGAATACCAGGTGCTGTAAGCTTTTCTTTTCTTGTATCTTGTGCCGTGTTCTCTCTCCAAGAGGCTAGGATATGGGTCTTTGGGGAGCCTGGTCTTTAGCTTGGACCAATGCAAATACACTTGGAGATGAGCCTTCAAGATAAATGAAAGAAAAAGTCAAAAAAGCACAAAGAGCGGGAGGACTGAGATCTTGTCATGAAGCGGAGCAAAGGAGTGGAGCATGATGGACTGCAGAGATAGGCTGTAAAACTAAGCTTGACTGCGTATCCGGGTGTTTTCTTGAGCGACGCATTGTTCATTGAAAGTGAAATGCTGATTATAATTGAGAGAACCACACAGGAGCACGTTGAAATAGCTCATTTGGAGCCTGTGTCATCGCTTACGGCCATACCACCCTGAACACGCCCGATCTCGTCCGATCTCGGAAGCTAAGCAGGGTCGGGCCTGGTTAGTACTTGGATGGGAGACCGCCTGGGAATACCAGGTGCTGTAAGCTTTTCTTTTCTTGTATCTTGTGCCGTGTTCTCTCTCCAAGAGGCTAGGATATGGGTCTTTGGGGAGCCTGGTCTTTAGCTTGGACCAATGCAAATACACTTGGAGATGAGCCTTCAAGATAAATGAAAGTAAAAAGTCAAAAAAGCACAAAGAGCGGGAGGACTGAGATCTTGTCATGAAGCGGAGCAAAGGAGTGGAGCATGATGGACTGCAGAGATAGGCTGTAAAACTAAGCTTGACTGCGTATGCGGGTGTTTTCTTGAGCGACGCATTGTTCATTGAAAGTGAAATGCTGTTTATAACTGAGAGAACCACACAGGAGCACGTTCAAATAGCTCATTTGGAGCCTGTGTCATCGCTTACGGCCATACCACCCTGAACACGCCCGATCTCGGAAGCTAAGCAGGGTCGGGCCTGGTTAGTACTTGGATGGGAGACCGCCTGGGAATACCAGGTGCTGTAAGCTTTTCTTTTCTTGTATCTTGTGCCGTGTTCTCTCTCCAAGAGGCTAGGATATGGGTCTTTGGGGAGCCTGGTCTTTAGCTTGGACCAATGCAAATACACTTGGAGATGAGCCTTCAAGATAAATGAAAGAAAGAGTCAAAAAAGCACAAAGAGCGGGAGGACTGAGATCTTGTCATGAAGCGGAGCAAAGGAGTGGAGCATGATGGACTGCAGAGATAGGCTGTAAAACTAAGCTTGACTGCGTATCCGGGTGTTTTCTTGAGCGACGCATTGTTCATTGAAAGTGAAATGCTGATTATAATTGAGAGAACCACACAGGAGCATGTTCAAATAGCTCATTTGGAGCCTGTGTCATTGCTTACGGCCATACCACCCTGAACACGCCCGATCTCGTCCGATCTCGGAAGCTAAGCAGGGTCGGGCCTGGTTAGTACTTGGATGGGAGACCGCCTGGGAATACCAGGTGCTGTAAGCTTTTCTTTTCTTGTATCTTGTGCCGTGTTCTCTCTCCAAGAGGCTAGGATATGGGTCTTTGGGGAGCCTGGTCTTTAGCTTGGACCAATGCAAATACACTTGGAGATGAGCCTTCAAGATAAATGAAAGAAAAAGTCAAAAAAGCACAAAGAGCGGGAGGACTGAGATCTTGTCATGAAGCGGAGCAAAGGAGTGGAGCATGATGGACTGCAGAGATAGGCTGTAAAACTAAGCTTGACTGTGTATCCGGGTGTTTTCTTGAGCGACGCATTGTTCATTGAAAGTGAAATGCTGATTATAATTGAGAGAACCACACAGGAGCACGTTCAAATAGCTCACGGTGTGTGCCCCCCCCCCCCCCCCAGACAGTGTTTATTCACTGTTTGGGGGGTGATTTTTCGTTTTTTTCAGAAGACAGCTGAACCCTGGCACCAGCAGACACAATGGCTGAGAGTGAAAAAAGAAACATAGAGGAAACAGCAAAAGAACAGAGCTGTGGTGATGAAAGAGCAAAGCAACTCAAACAAAGAACCCTGATCACATATGTAGAAGGAGAGGAGAAAGTACAAATGATGGATCTCATAAAAGCAATAAAGAGAGAGTGCGGAGAAATGGTCGGCTGCAGACAGAGAGGAGAACGAAAAATAGAAGTGACAATGGAAACAGAGGAGGGGAAGGACAAGCTCCTTGATGGCTTCAGGATCGGATCCTCCACTATAAGAAGCGAGGAAATAAACAACAATGAGCTGGTTGTGTCCTTCCTCAATCTCCCGATGTACATAACCGATGATGAAATTCTGGAGAAACTGAAAGGGTGGGGTGTAACTCCAGTATCAAGAATAAAGAGAAGACTGTGGCCAGGGACGGAGGTGGCCGATGGGACACGTTTCCTCAAAGTGAGGTTTAACAAGGAGGTGAGATCCCTGCCCTACTCCACACGGTTTGACACTCTGGAGGGGGTAGAGTACTGTCGAGTCATCCACGACAGACAGGTCCGAGTCTGTCGATTGTGTATCCAGCCGGGACACATCTTCAAAGACTGCCACGAATTCAGGTGCTTCCGATGCGGTAAGCAGGGACACTATGCACGAGAATGTGAAGGCAGAGGAAGAGGAGAGACCGGAGGGGAGCAGGAGAGAGGAGAGGAGGAAAGGATGGAGGAGGGAGGAGACGAGGACAGAGGAGTCGAGGAGGGAGGAGAAGAGGACGGAGGAGGCGAGGGCGAGGGAGAAGAGGAGGGAGGAGAGCAGACGGAGAGGAGAGAGGAGGAGTGTCGGCGGAGCACAACCAACGCAGAAGAAGAGAGGGAACAGACTGGGGGCGCAAAGACAGAGCCTCTTGGGCCATGCTGTCGGGAGGAGAGAGGAGGGGAGGAGCTGGTGAAAGGAGGAGAAGCAGAGACAATGGGGGGAGGAGGTGAGGACACTGGGGAGAGGGACATTAAGGCGGGGGGAGGAGGGGAATACGACAGTGGGGAAACAGGGGAGTCAGGGGATGACTTGGAGGACATGGAAGATATGGTTAAAAATAGAAAAAGGCAGAGAGGAAGAAGGGAAGCAGTTTTTGGGAAATTAAAGAAAACATGAAAAGTATGTTCAGAACAAAACAAAACAAAACACCAACAACGACAGATTGGTTCATCTTCGACTTATTTCGGGCCTTCTTTTTTTCTTTTTACCTTAATGATAACTATCTCCTCCTTTAATGCAAATGGACTCCGGTGTAAAGCAAGGAGACATGCAGCCATAATGACCTGCGATGCCCATATCATATGCTTACAAGAAACTCACTGGGATGAATGGTGTGTGAATGTAGTAAAGAGAGAATGGTTGGGTGAAATGTACAACAATAATGGGGGAGATAAAACAAGAGGGGTGGCAATTCTAGTGAAGAGGGGAGCGGTTGAGAATGTGAGAAAGTGTGTGGATGATGGTGAGGGGAGAGTGATTGGGATCACGTTTGAGCACGAGGGGAAAGAGTATAAACTATTGAACGTGTATGCACCAAATGAGGAGAAAGAGAGGAAAGAGTTTTTTGAGAGAATGGGAAGAATGAGCGGGAAAGACTGTCTGATTGTCGGAGATTTCAATGTGTGGTGTGGAAGACTGGATGCATCTGAGAATATGAATTACAGGAGTGACATGTCCAGGGGAGTATTCAAAGAAATGATGAGAGTGAATGAGATGATTGATGTGTGGAGAGAAAGAAACCCAGAGGAGAGGGAATTTACAAGAACACAGGTGGTGAAGGGGGTGTTAAAACAAAGCAGGATTGACCTAATACTGAGCACGAGGGACATAGCTTGGAAAATAGGCAACATAGAATATCAAACAACAACACTCAGTGATCACAGGGCGCTAAGGTTCAGTTTAGGGCAGGGGCACGAGAGGAGAAGGGGTGGAGTGTGGTGTATGAACGGAGCAATGCTGAAAGAGGAGAAATACAAGGACAGAGTGAGAGAATGTGTACGAAAGAGAATGAATCACAGCATGTATGTGCAGGACATCGGGAAGTGGTGGGAGGAGCTTAAAGAGGAAATAAAGAAAATCAGTATAAGATATGGTAGGATTAGGAATAGGATAGAGAGAGAGAGAGAGAGGAGACTTAAAGGAGAAATGCAAACAGAAGCAGAGAGAGTAGGCAGGGAGGAAGGGAGAGATATAGGGGAGTTTATGAGACTGAAACAAGAACTGAAGGAGATAGAACAGAAGAGATGTGCAGGAGCAATAGTTAGGAGCAGGGCCAGATACGTCATGGAGGGAGAGAGAGCAACTGGGTTTTTTTTAGGCCTAGAGAAGGTGAAGCAGAGGAAGAACTATTTAGAGCAGGTAGAAGGAAAGGGGGGGGAGAAGATCACAGACTTTGTAGGGATAGCAGGAAGAGTGGAGGAATTTTATAGGGAACTATTTAGGAAAGAAGAGATAGATGAGTGCAGCTTAGAGCAGGTGCTAGAGCTGGTGAAAGGCAGACTGAGTGAAGAGCAGAGGGAGATGTGTGAGGGACAGATAGGGACAGGAGAGATAGAGGCAGCCATAGCAGGGTTAGGGAGGAACAAGAGTCCAGGGATAGATGGGATCATAGGGGAGTTTTACATGGAGTTTAGGGAAGAATTAGTGCCTGTGTTAGAGAGATTATTTAGGGAGATAGAAGAGAAGGGTCAGATGCCAGCTAGAATGACAACAGGGTTAGTCACAATCATTCACAAGAAAGGGAGCAGGGACAAACTAGAAAACTACAGGCCACTCAGCATGTTAAATAGTGATTATAAAATATTAGCCAGGGTGCTAGCAGCTAGGATGAAGAGAGTTGTAGGGACGGTGGTGGGGGGCACACAGGCATATAGCATACCAGGAAGAGACATAGCAGACACAATAAGCAGCATTAGGGACACAATAGAATATATGAAGAGGGAGAAGAGGGGGATAGTATTAAGTTTAGATTTAAATAAGGCTTTTGATAGAGTAAACCACAATTATCTGTACAGGGTGTTAGATAGAATGGGTTTCGGGCACAGGATGGTAGGATGGATAAGGAGAATGTACGATAAAGCAGTTAGTTGCGTTAAAGTTAATGGGATAGTCACAAGTACATTCAGGTTAGAGAGATCAGTTCGACAGGGATGCCCGCTATCGGCTCTGCTGTACTCACTGTCGGCAGAGCCTCTAGCGATGCTGGTGATGAACAACGGGAACATAAGAGGTATAGAGTTACCAGGAGGACAGGTTAGTCTACTATATCAGTATGCAGATGACACTACAGTAACAGTCAGAGATAGGGAAAGTGTAAGAGAGGTCTTAGCTAGTGTCGAGAGGTACGGCAGGGTGTCAGGGGCGAGGGTCAATATAGAAAAGTCTGAGATCATGTATATGGGGACAGGAGAAGCAGATAGGGTAGAGATAGGGCTGAAAGAAAGGAAGGAGCATTTAAGAGTCTTAGGGGTAAATGTAGGGATAAAAGACACAGAAGGCAGGGACATACGGTACGAAGGGATAGTAAACGGTATAAAAAAGACATTAGGATTTTGGAAAAAGAGAAGGCTTACCTTGAGAGGGAAAGTGGTGGTTGTAAATGCGTTGGTGGTCAGCAAACTTGTGTATGTGATGACTGTGCTAGAGGTGCCCGACAGAGTGCTGAAGGAGGTGGACGGGGCTGTGAAAGATTTCCTGTGGGAAGGGAAGGGGGTACAAATAGCAAAAGAGGTGCTAGAGAATGATTATGAAGATGGAGGGCTTAAACTGATTAATTTAAAGAACATGAAGAGAGCGCTGAGGGTGAAAATGATGGTCAGATACATAAAAAGAAGGGGAGATCATGTCTGGAAGACGTTTTTGGGACAGGCTCTGAACCAATGTGGCGGCTGCGGAAAGAGTGGAGTGTTCATGTCCTTGAAGAGAGCTAGAATGGATGGAGTGTCTGAGTTTTACAAAGAAGTTCTGGAAGCATGGGGGGAGTTTGTGAAAAGTGTGAAGTATGAGTGTGTGAATGTGAGGCAGGTTTGGGATCAACCTTTGTTTTTTAACCCACAAATCACGCACCAGGGGAGCACCATTTATAACAAGGAGATGTGGAGAGCAGGGTTCAGAAAGGTGAAGGATTTAGTGTATGAATATGTACCAGGGTTTATGAGGGCACAGGTGATAATGGATGGAGTCAGAGAGGCGGGGGGAGATGGGGCTGGGCACTGCGGAAACAATGATGGAGAAAATAAAAGAAGGAATACCAAGAGAGTGGATGAGATTGATTGAGAGAGAGGCTGGAGAGAATGGAAAGGGAGAGATTGAGATGTTTGTAGGAGGGAGTGAGAGGAGAGTGAGCCTGGTGAGTGTGAGAACAAGAGTGCTGTATAAATGTTTCAGAATGAAAGATGTGAGGAGGCCGGCTGCAGAAAAAGTGTGGGAGAGAGTTATGAAAGGAGTGAGAGGGAAAAAGATCTGGGCAAATTTAAGAGTGAAGTGGAACTGTCATGAATGTGAAAACTTAGATTTCAAGTTACGTCACAACAGGGTGTTCAACAACTTAATTATCAGCAGATTTGATCTAAGGGTGAAGAAAGAATGTGATGTGTGCAGAGTGGGTGTGGAAACATGTATGCATGAGTTTGTTGAATGTCCCGAACTAGGGTTTTACTTCGAGAGAATGAGGGAACTAATAAAGAAAAATTGGAGAGGGAAGTATGTAGAGAGGATGGATTGGAAGGAGCTGTGGCTGTTTGGAGTGAATGAGAGAGTGAGAGGGGTGAATATCGGTCTCCTGAATTACACACTGAGTCATGCAAGATATACTGTCAAACTACGGAGAAACATAGCTCACTATGAACAAAAACATGCAGATGTATGGAAGTTATTCAAAAACCTAATGAGGAAAAATGTAAACACCCTGTATCAGTATGTAGAAAAAGAGGAGTTTAACAAACGCTTCATAGAAGGCAGCAAATTCATAGAGCGGAAAGGTGATTGCCTGGAATTTAATTTCGAATAAAATAAGGTCTGGATTTATTTATTTATTTATTTTTTTTGTTGATGCTGTTGTTGGTGTAGTTGTTTTGTTATGTATGCAAATGCACTGATGTGCACGTATGCTTATGGATTCAAACACGAATGACGGAATGTGTGTGTATGGGTATGTATGTGAATATATATGTTCACAAGTCTAAAATGACAGATGTATGTAAACTGTACTGAGCTTGTAAAAAAAAAAAAAAAAAAAAAACACGCCCGATCTCGGAAGCTAAGCAGGGTCGGACCTGGTTAGTACTTGGATGGGAGACCGCCTGGGAATACCAGGTGCTGTAAGCTTTTCTTTTCTAGTATCTTGTGCCGTGTTCTCTCTCCAAGAGGCTAGGATATGGGTCTTTGGGGAGCCTGGGGCCTGTTCTACGAAGCAGGATTACTGCTTAGCGGGGTAACTTCGATAGTAAGTTCGGGGTTTCCTGTTCTACGACGCGGGTTCACTTCTTAGCGAGGAGAGTCTCCATAGCAATATATGCTGAACGGCTAACCTGCTCCGGGGCAGGTTAGGTTCCAGATTGAACTCACTGAGTATAAAAACCCCGCCCACTGACCAATGAGCTCTCTCGAAAAACGGTTTGTCCGTTCTTGGAGGATCCTGTAGACCTCGGTGCTCGCATTGTCCGAGGAGGAGCACTCCGGCTCGCGAGAGTTTTCAGGGAGAGTTTTCTCCGGATGACCACCTCTATGAAAGGCTCATATGGCCGACATATTACACAAAACATGTAAACACGATAGGAATGAACAAATGAATGATTCATCTTGGGAATGAATGGGCATGAGCTGCAGGGGCTGCGCGATCACAGACAACATCTCGGTACTATTTAGTAGCAGCGCACGCCCCTTATAATAACCCCGTAAATACTGTTGTTCAGGACTGCTTACTTCTGCTTCCTACCCACTGTAACAACCGTTGTTCTTGCCCACATGCAACATTTTTGTTCTCATTCATGAAACGCTTAAATCACGGACATGTTCAGAGACAGCTTTAGCCGGGGACAGATCATCCAATTCGGGGACTGTCACCTTAGTTAAAAGCGCATGTTGAACAGTGCTATTTCAGGGTGATAATGGCATCAAAGACTAATTTTCTGCCAGCATTCCCTCTGTGCTTTTGCAGCGGCGACGGTGTTGCTTTTGAGGTTTGTGATAGCTTTCAATTCTTCATACTTTCTCATGATCGTCTCCTGCTCCTCGTTTGTAAAGTCTGCGGTCCTTCACTCTCCAGCCTGCTGCTGTGACGCTCCAGACTGATCCATGTTCGCGATTGGTCAGATGCGGCGAGCTCCGCCTTGTATGTGTGCACGCGCTCATAGCAAAGCCGGATCTACTTATGAGGTTGATAACCAGCGTCGTAAAACCGCTTAGCGAGACCGCCGGCTACCGCGCTAAGTTGAGCGAGGTAGCTCTCAGACTACCTCGCTAAGTTGAACTTGCTTCGTAGAACAGAGGCTAGGATATGGGTCTTTGGGGAGCCTGGTCTTTAGCTTGGACCAATGCAAATACACTTGGAGATGAGCCTTCAAGATAAATGAAAGAAAGAGTCAAAAAAAGCACAAAGAGCGGGAGGACTGAGATCTTGTCATGAAGCGGAGCAAAGGAGTGGAGCATGATGGACTGCAGAGATAGGCTGTAAAACTAAGCTTGACTGCGTATCCGGGTGTTTTCTTGAGCGACGCATTGTTCATTGAAAGTGAAATGCTGATTCTAATTGAGAGAACCACACAGGAGCACGTTCAAATAGCTCATTTGGAGCCTGTGTCATCGCTTACGGCCATACCACCCTGAACACGCCCGATCTCGTCCGATCTCGGAAGCTAAGCAGGGTCGGGCCTGGTTAGTACTTGGATGGGAGACCGCCTGGGAATACCAGGTGCTGTAAGCTTTTCTTTTCTTGTATCTTGTGCCGTGTTCTCTCTCCAAGAGGCTAGGATATGGGTCTTTGGGGAGCCTGGTCTTTAGCTTGGACCAATGCAAATACACTTGGAGATGAGCCTTCAAGATAAATGAAAGAAAAGTCAAAAAAGCACAAAGAGCGGGAGGACAGAGATCTTGTCATGAAGCGGAGCAAAGGAGTGGAGCATGATGGACTGCAGAGATAGGCTGTAAAACTAAGCTTGACTGCGTATCCGGGTGTTTTCTTGAGCGACGCATTGTTCATTGAAAGTGAAATGCTGATTATAATTGAGAGAACCACACAGGAGCACGTTCAAATAGCTCATTTGGAGCCTGTGTCATCGCTTACGGCCATACCACCCTGAACACGCCCGATCTCGTCCGATCTCGGAAGCTAAGCACGGGTCGGGCCTGGTTAGTACTTGGATGGGAGACCGCCTGGGAATACCAGGTGCTGTAAGCTTTTCTTTTCTTGTATCTTGTGCCGTGTTCTCTCTCCAAGAGGCTAGGATATGGGTCTTTGGGGAGCATGGTCTTTAGCTTCGACCAATGCAAATACACTTGGAGATGAGCCTTCAAGATAAATGAAAGAAAAAGTCAAAAAAGCACAAAGAGCGGGAGGACTGAGATCTTGTCATGAAGCGGAGCAAAGGAGTGGAGCATGATGGACTGCAGAGATAGGCTGTAAAACTAAGCTTGACTGCGTATCCGGGTGTTTTCTTGAGCGACGCATTGTTCATTGAAAGTGAAATGCTGATTATAATTGAGAGAACCACACAGGAGCACGTTCAAATAGCTCATTTGGAGCCTGTGTCATCGCTTACGGCCATACCACCCTGAACACGCCCGATCTCGTCCGATCTCGGAAGCTAAGCAGGGTCGGGCCTGGTTAGTACTTGGATGGGAGACCGCCTGGGAATACCAGGTGCTGTAAGCTTTTCTTTTCTTGTATCTTGTGCCGTGTTCTCTCTCCAAGAGGCTAGGATATGGGTCTTTGGGGAGCCTGGTCTTTAGCTTGGACCAATGCAAATACACTTGGAGATGAGCCTTCAAGATAAATGAAAGAAAGAGTCAAAAAAGCACAAAGAGCGGGAGGACTGAGATCTTGTCATGAAGCGGAGCAAAGGAGTGGAGCATGATGGACTGCAGAGATAGGCTGTAAAACTAAGCTTGACTGCGTATCGGGGTGTTTTCTTGAGCGACGCATTGTTCATTGAAAGTGAAATGCTGATTCTAATTGAGAGAACCACACAGGAGCACGTTCAAATAGCTCATTTGGAGCCTGTGTCATCGCTTACGGCCATACCACCCTGAACACGCCCGATCTCGTCCGATCTCGGAAGCTAAGCAGGGTCGGGCCTGGTTAGTACTTGGATGGGAGACCGCCTGGGAATACCAGGTGCTGTAAGCTTTTCTTTTCTTGTATCTTGTGCCGTGTTCTCTCTCCAAGAGGCTAGGATATGGGTCTTTGGGGAGCCTGGTCTTTAGCTTGGACCAATGCAAATTCACTTGGAGATGAGCCTTCAAGATAAATGAAAGAAAAAGTCAAAAAAGCACAAAGAGCGGGAGGACTGAGATCTTGTCATGAAGCGGAGCAAAGGAGTGGAGCATGATGGACTGCAGAGATAGGCTGTAAAACTAAGCTTGACTGCGTATCCGGGTGTTTTCTTGAGCGACGCATTGTTCATTGAAAGTGAAATGCTGATTATAATTGAGAGAACCACACAGGAGGACGTTCAAATAGCTCATTTGGAGCCTGTGTCATCGCTTACGGCCATACCACCCTGAACACGCCCGATCTCGTCCGATCTCGGAAGCTAAGCAGGGTCGGGCCTGGTTAGTACTTGGATGGGAGACCGCCTGGGAATACCAGGTGCTGTAAGCTTTTCTTTTCTTGTATCTTGTGCCGTGTTCTCTCTCCAAGAGGCTAGGATATGGGTCTTTGGGGAGCCTGGTCTTTAGCTTGGACCAATGCAAATACACTTGGAGATGAGCCTTCAAGATAAATGAAAGAAAAAGTCAAAAAAGCACAAAGAGCGGGAGGACTGAGATCTTGTCATGAAGCGGAGCAAAGGAGTGGAGCATGATGGACTGCAGAGATAAGCTAAAAAACTAAGCTTGACTGCGTATCCGGGTGTTTTCTTGAGCGACGCATTGTTCATTGAAAGTGAAATGCTGATTATAATTGAGAGAACCACACAGGAGCATGTTCAAATAGCTCATTTGGAGCCTGTGTCATCGCTTACGGCCATACCACCCTGAACACCTGTGTGCAATCAGCGGTGATCAGCAGTAGCAGCAGCAGCAGCAGAAGCAGCAGCAGAAAAAGGACCTTACTTGGAAGCTCTATTCAGTTTGTATACCCTTTTTTTAAAGGACTTTTTGAGGGGAAACAGTCGATTGTGTATCCAGCCGGGACACATCTTCAAAGACTGCCACGAATTCAGGTGCTTCCGATGCGGTAAGCAGGGACACTATGCACGAGAATGTGAAGGCAGAGGAAGAGGAGAGACCGGAGGGGAGCAGGAGAGAGGAGAGGAGGAAAGGATGGAGGAGGGAGGAGACGAGGACAGAGGAGTCGAGGAGGGAGGAGAAGAGGACGGAGGAGGCGAGGGCGAGGGAGAAGAGGAGGGAGGAGAGCAGACGGAGAGGAGAGAGGAGGAGAGTCGGCGGAGCACAACCAACGCAGAAGAAGAGAGGGAACAGACTGGGGGCGCAAAGACAGAGCCTAAAGATCTTGGGCCACGCTGTCGGGAGGAGAGAGGAGGGGAGGAGCTGGTGAAAGGAGGAGAAGCAGAGACAATGGGGGGAGGAGGTGAGGACACTGGGGAGAGGGACATATAGGCGGGGGGAGGAGGGGAATACGACAGTGGGGAAACAGGGGAGTCAGGGGATGACTTGGAGGACATGGAAGATATGGTTAAAAATAGGAAAAGGCCGAGAGGAAGAAGGGAAGCAGTTTTTGGGAAATTAAAGAAAACATGAAAAGTATGTTCAGAACAAGACAAAACACCAACAAGGATATATTGGTTTATCTTCGACTTATTTCGGGCCTTCTTTTTTTCTTTTTACCTTAATGATAACTATCTCCTCCTTTAATTCAAATGGACTCAGGTGTAAAGCAAGGAGACATGCAGCCTTAATGACCTGCGATGCCCATATCATATGCTTACAAGAAACTCACTGGGATGAACGGTGTGTGAATGTAGTAAAGAGAGAATGGTTGGGTGAAATGTACAACAATAATGGGGGAGATAAAACAAGAGGGGTGGCAATTCTAGTGAAGAGGGGAGCGGTTGAGAATGTGAGAAAGTGTGTGGATGATGGTGAGGGGAGAGTGATTGTGATCACGTTTGAGCACGAGGGGAAAGAGTATAAACTATTGAACGTGTATGCACCAAATGAAGAGAAAGAGAGGAAAGAGTTTTTCGAGAGAATGGGAAGAATGAGCGGGAAAGACTGTCTGATTGTTGGAGATTTTAATGTGTGGTGTGGAAGACTGGATGCATCTGAGAGTATGGATTACAGGAGGGACATGTCCAGGGGAGTTTTCAAAGAAATGATGAGAGAGAATGATATGATTGATGTGTAGAGAGAAAGAAACCCAGAGGAGAGGGAATTTTCAAGAACACAGGTGGTGAAGGGGGTGTTAAAACAAAGTAGGATTGATCTAGTACTGAGCACGAGGGACATAGCTTGGAAAATAGGCAACATAGAATATCAAACAACAACACTCAGTGATCACAGGGCGCTAAGGTTCAGTTTAGGGCAGGGGCACGAGAGGAGAAGGGGTGGAGTGTGGTGTATGAACGGAGCAATGCTGAAAGAGGAGAAATACAAGGACAGAGTGAGAGAATGTGTACGAAAGAGAATGAATCACAGCATGTATGTGCAGGACATCGGGAAGTGGTGGGAGGAGCTTAAAGAGGAAATAAAGAAAATTAGTATAAGATATGGTAGGATTAGGAATAGGATAGAGAGAGAGAGAAGACTAAAAGAAGAAATGCAAACAGAAGCAGAGAGAGTAGGCAGGGAGGAAGGGAGAGATATAGGGGAGTTTATGAGACTGAAACAAGAACTGAAGGAGATAGAACAGAAGAGATGTGCAGGAGCAATAGTTAGGAGTAGGGCCAGATATGTCATGGAGGGAGAGAAAACTACAAGGTTTTTTTTAGGCCTAGAGAAGGTGAAGCAGAGGAAGAACTATTTAGAGCAGGTAGAAGGAAAGGGGGGGGGAGAAGATCACAGACTTTGTAGGGATAGCTGAAAGAGTAGAGGAATTTTATAGGGAACTATTTAGGAAAGAAGAGATAGATGAGTGCAGCTTAGAGCAGGTGCTAGAGCTGGTGAAAGGCAGACTGAGCGAAGAGCAGAGGGAGATGTGTGAGGGACAGATAGGGACAGGAGAGATAGAGGCAGCCATAGCAGGGTTAGGGAGGAACAAGAGTCCAGGGATAGATGGGATCATAGGGGAGTTCTACATGGAGTTTAGGGAAGAATTAGTGCCTGTGTTAGAGAGATTATTTACGGAGATAGAAACGAAGGGTCAGATGCCAGTTAGAATGACAACAGGCAACCAGCCTCTCATTTTTTGAGTCAGAGAGTTTGTGAGGAAAGAAGTGAAAAAAAAAGTTTTTTATAGGTAAGTTAGACATCTGATCGTCGATAGTGGTAGGTAGTTTGTATCTTTTTTTGTGCGTTGTACCCCTGGCAGGGGTTTTCTACTGCCTGGGGGTGAGGAGTTTGACCCTCTTTTTTTTTTTTGGTGATGCGGCGTTCAGTGTGCTGCTGCACACAAACGCTGACTCACAGGATGGACAACATGGTTAAAGACACGGAAAACGGCAGAGAAATTCCCACGGTTTCAACTACGGACAGTTCAAGAGATTGAAAAAGGAATCTGGAGAAAGAAAAGAAGATTGACGGTCTACAATTGAATTATCGAAAGGAGTTGACGGTGATGCTGGAGCTGGAGGGACAAGAGAAAGTGACGGTGACAGAGCTTCTGAGAGCGGTGAGGCTGGCGTGTGGAGCGGTAGTGGCATGCAGATATGTCGGGGAGAGGAAATACGAAGTCACGATGAACCATGGAAAAGGAAAAGAGAGACTGATGGAGGGTCTAAAGATTGGAGCAGTGAATGTGTGGGCGAGGGAGCTTTCGAATGACGAGCTGGTGGTTTCTTTTTTGAACCTGCCTGCTTATATCCCGGACTCGGACATTCAGACAAAATTACAAATGTGGGGAGTTTCAGCAGTATCCCCGATAAAAAGGAGAATGTGGCCCGGCACAAACGTCGCCGACGGTACAAGATACTGTAAGGTAAAATTCACGAAAGACATCCAGTCACTGCCTTATTCGGCAAAATTTAATACTGCAACGGGTGCTGAATTTTTTAGGGTTATACATGACAGACAGGTGAAAGTATGCAGATTATGCATACAACCGGGCCATATTTTCAGAGACTGCCCAGAGTTTATATGTCATAAATGTGGGGAGCAGGGCCATTATGCACGGGAGTGTGCAAACGCACCAGCCAAGTGTACAATTTGTTTCAATGAAATGGGGAGATGTATTTGCAGAAATTCCGAGAGTGAGGGTGGGGAGCAACAACGGTGCTCTCCCACTCACGATGATCAGATGAGTGACGTCGAAAGTGAGGGAAACGGGGCAGATGAGCCGTGCGTAAATGTGGCTGAAAGCTCTGTGGACATGGAGGAGGAACTCCAGGCTCGTGGGTCCCAAGGTGAGGGTATCGAGCCGAGTCCAAGCTTAAGAGCTGCACAGAAAAATGTGCGAGGGAGGGAGACGGACGGGGCTCTGAGAGCGCGTGTTACGCCGGAGACCCCCGAAGCCCCTTCAGCCCTTGCAGGGGGAATTGAGTTTCTGCCACCGCGCAAAAAAGCGGCAAAGACAGGCAACAGAGCGCAGCCTGTGGGGCCGGGAAGGGAAAACCTTGGCCCATGTGAAAAGCCGAAGCCCACATCATCTCTGACAGAATCGGAATCGGATTTAGATGGTAAAGTGGTTGAAATTAGGAAGAAAAAGAAGGACAGGAAAAAACTTGGAGAAGGAAAATTGATTGACCTAGATTGAGCCCAAATTTTGACTTCTCAGATTAATGGAATGATTTATAGACCACTTTTCTCCCTTTTTATAATGATCACAGCTATCTCCCTCAACATTAATGGTCTCTGCTCCTCACATAAAATGGTCTCTTTTTTCAACTCAACTAAACAAGACATCATTTGTCTACAGGAAACCTGCTGGTCACCTCAAACCCTTCTTCAAATACAAAAACTTTACTGTGGGAAGATATTTGTGGGGTTTGGGGTGGGGAAAGCAGGGGGGGTAGCTGTTATGATAAATAATAACTTACTAGAACATAGTAAAGAGATTTATAAAGACAAAAGAGGTAAAATTTTAATTATAGATATCTTGTATAGAAATAAAACATATAGAATTATAAACTTTCATGGTGAAAACAACGAAAGGGAGAGATTATTTCAACTTAAAGAAATAGTAAAATGGATAAATGATAATGCAATAATAGTAGGGGATTTCAACATAGTGCTGAACAAAATAGACTTATCATCAAACAATAAATTCAGAAACGACACAAGCAGAACACAATTACTAAAAATAATGCAAGAGCACAACCTAGTGGATCCATGGAGAATTAACAACACAAATAGCACCCACTTCTCCAGAAAACAGACAGTACTAGGAAAACTAAAACAATCAAGGATTGATCTTTTACTAGCGGCAAAAAACACTATTCAAGAAATTAACAATTTACAGTATAAACCTAATATATGGAGTGATCACGATATTTTACAATGGGAACAAGGCATAGATAATAAAACTAGAGGAGCTGGCACATGGTGTCTAAACTCCAGCATCTTAAATGACAAAGCTTTTATATATAAAATAAAAAATTTATTGGAAAACATCATAGCTGAAACAGTTGAAAAAGGGAACATAACCGATTCATGGGATGACATAAAAAACAGAATAAAAAAAACCTGCATAAACTACAGCAAGAGGAAAAAATGGTTGGAAATCAGAGAAGAAATAAAACTCAAACAATTTTTAGCAGATGAAACTATACTGCTAAATACTGACATACACAGATCATGTGAGCAATATGAAATTTACAAAGAACAATTAAGAAACATAGAAATAAAGAAGTGCAAAGGAGCAATCATTAGAAGCAAAGTGAAATACACAACAGAAGGTGAAAAATGCACTTCTTTTTTCTCGGCTTGGAAAAAAAGAAACAGAACAAATCATATATCAATCAACTAACAGACAATAAAGGACAAACGCTGTTTGAAACTGATGAAATTTTAGACCATACATATCAATTTTACAAACAGCTCTTCTCTAAACAGAAGGACTTAAAAGAAAAAGAAATACCGGAATACATTAAATGTATAAATAAAAAACTTGAAAGACAAGATAAAGACTGGTGTGATTCAGAAATAACTGAAGAAGAAATAAAAAACGCCATACAGGCGCTAAACAAAAATAAAAGTCCAGGTTCAGATGGACTGACTGCTGAGTTCTACGTGAATTTCCAAGAGGAGCTTACACCGCTCCTGAATATACTTTACAGAGATATGTTTGATAACAAAAGAGTGCCTGCAACTTTAACCGAAGGAATAATCTCGCTAATATTCAAAAAAGGTGACAATAAACTAATCAAAAATTACCGCCCCATCAGTCTACTGAATACAGATTACAAAATCCTCACAAAAATTCTGGCAAATAGACTCAAACAGCTTTCGGGTTCCATCATAAATAGTACACAATCTTACAGCATACCAGGAAGAGACATCAGTGATTCCATATTGACCATAAAAGAAACAATTCATAACATGCAGAAAGACAAAGGGTTCCTGCTCAGTATCGATCTTGAAAAAGCTTTTGACAGAGTTGATCACACATTTCTTTTCAATATTCTACAGGCTTTTGGTTTCGGTTCAAAATTCATTAACTGGATAAAACTTCTTTACAATAATGCAAAAAGCTGTATTAAGGTTAATGGTTTCCTCACAGAATTTTTCACAATAAAAAGATCAGTTAGACAAGGTTGCCCACTATCAGCACTACTCTATTCAATAGTAGCAGAACCCTTAGCTCTTCATATCTTACAGGACAAAGACATAAAAGGAATACCCACAGGTTACAACAAAACAACAAAAATAACTCAATACGCAGATGACATAAACATAATGGTTTTAGACAGTAATAGCATCGATAAGGTTTTGAATCACATTAATGAATACGAGAAGGTAGCTGGAGCAAAAATGAACCTGGAAAAGAGCGAGATTATGTTTTGTGGCTCAAATGTTGACTGTGTAAATAAATGGAACTTTGTAGAAGTGAACAAGTCAAAAAAAATTCTGGGTGTTTATGTTGGGAAAAACGAAAATGAAGCAACAAGAACCAATTGGGAAAAGGTGATTACCAAAACAAAAAATATTCTCAATCTCTGGAAAGCCAGAGGTTTAACACTAAAAGGAAGGGTAATTGTAACAAATGCACTAGTACTGTCCAAAATCAACCATATAATGGGGGTCTGTGAGTTG